TATAATATATTGTCACTTAATTAAATCTGATATTAATTATTTTGAAAAAGTGCCACATTTAATATATTTACTTCCTATATGCACGTACTGCGACTCAAGCGCCGCGCGGCGGCAGTAGTTATAATCGAATGAGAACAGCGACCTCATGAAGGACATTGCGTCCTTTGATTTACTCTTTTATATTATTCATCATCGGACATTGATTTCTACTAACTTCTTGAATGTGACGCGCCCTTCCTGCGATCACAATAAGTTAGGAGTTTAGAAGTGTGTGACTTCCTCGTGCGCCGATCCACGTGGTAGACCTGCTTTGTTAGCTGAACTCCGGGAGGATGGCGAAGCTGTCCATTACAAGGATAGTACATGCTCTCTTCTACTTTTCCTAATCTGCTTGTTGTATGTACCACTACAGTCCACGAAATCTTTATCGAAGGAACTCAGGTTGCTGTCGCGCCCATACTTTATATAACAAAAAAAAAAACAATTTTTAAATTTTTATCTATCTGTTTGTTTGTTCCGGCTTATCTCCGAAATGGCTGAATTAATTTTTAGAAAATTTTCACTGGCAGATAGCTGATTTTAGAAGGAGTAACTTAGGGTAATTAGGATTTCACGCAAAAATTAAAATCCAAGAAAGCCAATCGTAATAAATTCCACGCGGACGAAGTTGTAAAAAATTCCGTACAAAATAAAGGAATATATGTATACGTTAAAATAAACTGTTAATAATTCTGCCTATATGTGCGACATAAGCGTTATAAATCAACTACACTACATCATATTTTCCAACTGTTATCAGACTTTGGTTGATAGAGCCCTGCTGGTGTCCCTAACTCAACGTCTAAGCACGTTTTTTGCGTATGTTATCAAACTTACGACAAACACGGACGATATTATATATTAACTATTCTTACACCGCCACTTCACGATGCGATGTATGCCTATTATACACATTTGGTGTAAAATTAAAAATAAATTTAATTTTTAATATTACTTATTACAGCGGGTTTAGAATTTCAACAGTGATTAACAAAATTAGTTATTACGTGTAAAATTGTTATTAAAGTGTTAATAGTAAAGGTAAAATTAGTCGACTGATCTTAGGTTGAGTTTTGAACGTAGACTAAGTTTTCTGATAATTTTAATGCTAAAAACAGAAGCGAAGTGTAAATGAAAAAAAAGTTGCCAGAATTTAAAATTAAATTGTTTATTGTATTAAATTTAATAAACGATAACTAAAATTCCACACTAAATTGTTAATTAAAGTGTTAATAGGTAAAGGTTATCGGCAATTTTTATTGTCACGAACCTCAAGCTCGTAACAATTGAGGTCAGAAGTGGGATCAAATCATGCCGATTTTACCTAAGGAGGAAACGGAGGGTGTCCGTACCCGAAGTCAACGCCAGCAGGAGACGGACCAAAGAAGATTTGGTGGTGCAACGCCGCAGACGTCGGAGGGCCAGCCACCGGCTGAAGGCCCGTCGGTAGCTCCTACATCTGCAGCATCTGACTTAGGTGCTCTGATGGTGATGCTGCAGGAGCAGGCTCGCCGACAGGAGGAACAGGTCCGTCAGTTGAAAGAGCAGCTGCAGAGCGGACAGGAGGGACAGGCCCGCCGATTGGAAGAGCAGCTGCGGGACGAACAGGAGGAACAGGCCCGCCGACAGGAGGAACAGGCCCGTCGTTTAGAAGAGCAACTCCAACGCGATAAGGAAGAGCAGATGCTCCTCATGAAGGACCTTCACGCTATCTTCGGAAAAGAGATACGGGAGGTGAAGGATAAGGTTGCTCAACATGACAACCGCCTGTCGGAGGCCGAAACCCGAATCGACCAAGTAAACAATCGGGTTGACAACGTAATGGCTGACATGAAGAAATCACTGGACGAACTCAAACTTGGAGATGGAGCTACAGCTCCCGTAGTAGCTACAACACCTTCGCTACGTGGGTTCAAGGTGCCACCGTTCGACGGTACCTCTTCCTGGTCGGCCTACAAAATCCAGTTCGAGGCCGTCATGGAGGCGAACGGCTGGAATAAAAGCCAAGCCATGACTGCACTCACTCTAGGCCTGCGCGACCAAGCCTTAACTGTGTTGGAAGCCCTCGGTAAGAAAGTGACCTATGAGCAGCTTCTTGAGGCCTTGGAAGCGAGATATGGCGACGCTCATCTGGAACACGTCTTTCGCGCGCAGCTTAAAGATCGCGTGCAGCGCAGCAAAGAAAACCTGCAGCAGTGGGCCCTTGAGGTGGAGAAGATGGTTCGAAAAGCATACCAGTCTGTACCTGCGCTCATTGAAGGGAACCTGGTTCAGACATTCATCGACGGCATCCGCGACCTTGAAGTCAGAGCTGCTGTGAGACTCGGGCACCACGACACGCTTAAGAACGCCTTGGCCCATGCACTGGAGGTGGAAGCCGTGCGGCAGGATCATCGTTCCCATCGCATCAGGGAGGTTGCAGCAGCTACAGTTCGCGACCGCAACAGAGGATACAGCCCTAGGTGCTATGGCTGTGGGGAAAAGGGCCATCTTCGATCCAGCTGCCCTAAGCGAACCCTAGAAAGGGAAGGTGTACTATCTCAGGAGGGTAGTGCGGCCAACAGCACCGCCCTGCAGCAGCAGGGAAACGAGTAAAAGCCAGAACTGCGGGGCGGGTGCTGGCTGATGTTAAAAGAGCCCCAAGGATCTCGATCTCACAAATCCATGATGGGAACAGTCTAATCATCAAGGGCGAGGTCAACGGAATGCCGTGTAAACTGACCATAGACACTGGAGCCTCTGGTACGGTTGTTAGTTCCCAACTTATAAGCCAGTTCCTTGGGGACTCCGCATACAACCGAGAACGCATTAATTTGGTAACAGCCACCGGTCAGCGTATACCCGTCCGTGGAGAGAAGGAGATGGAGTTGAAGCTAGGCAACGTGATCTACCTGCATAATGTCATCGTGGCTGATATAATGGACGACTGCATCCTAGGCCTAGACTTTATGAGGAATAATTGTTGTGAGATCGACGTTAAGCAAGGTGTTTTGAAATGTGGACAGGAGGAACTTTTTATGGAAGGTGCGTTACCAGGGAACGTGTACAGCATCAAGAAGATTGTTCTTCCGCCGAGATCGGAAACGATTGTTCCGGTTAGTCTTCCACGAAACGCTGGGCAAGCTCACCGTTGTGTACTTGTGGAAAGGGTAAACAATGACCTTCCATGGAAAGTAGCTCGAACCTTGGTCAGGACCACTGACATCTCAGGAGTACGTGTGCTGAACCTTTGCGACCGGGAACAGGTTATAGAAAAAGGTACACTGGTTGGTACTTGTGAGGAAGTGGATTGGTTACGTCAGTGCCAATATATATCGAGTGGGACCCCCAGCAAGGATTCAGAAACGAGAGTGACCACACTTTTGGAAGACTGTCGCAGTGTTCTGTCCCCGAACGAATTGGTGAAGGCGAAGAAGTTGTTACTCGAGTACGCCGATGTATTCTCATCAAACGATGCTGACATAGGAAAGACTGGTTTAGTTCAACACAAAATAAACACAGGTGAAGAGTTGCCTATCCGTCAGCGGCCAAGACGATTGCCGGTAGCACGTGAAAAGGAAGTGGAAACCATGATTGAGGGAATGGTGAGGGATGGTGTTATTGAACCTTCATCTAGTCCATGGTGTTCACCCGTGGTACTGGTAAAGAAGAAGGATGGCAGCATGCGGTTCTGTGTTGATTACCGCCGTCTGAATGACGTTACAAAGAAGGACAGCTATCCCTTGCCAAGAATTGATGACACGCTGGACATGCTTACAGGAGTAAAATGGTTTAGCACGCTGGATCTAAAAAGTGGCTACTGGCAAGTTGAAATTGACCCTAAGGACAAGGAGAAAACTGCGTTCTCGACGGGAAAGGGTCTGTGGCAATTCAAAGTAATGCCGTTTGGGTTGTGCAATGCTCCAGCAACGTTTGAAAGGCTGATGGAACTTGTACTTACCGGGCTAATTGGCGATGCCTGTCTGGTCTACTTGGATGACATCATCATCGTGGGCCGTACGTTTGAGGAACACCTTCAAAACCTGTAACGCGTGTTCATGAAGATTAAGAGTGCCAACCTTAAGTTGAGTCCGAAGAAATGTTCACTATTCAAACGGCAAGTCAACTTTTTGGGGTATGTAGTGTCGGAAGAAGGTATCCGCACGGATCCAGAGAAAATCGCAGCTGTAAAGGATTGGCCGGTTCCAAAAGACAAGACGCAGGTTAGAGCATTTTTGGGTTTGTGCTCCTATTACCGACGTTTTGTGAAGAACTTTGCAGATATAGCCAAACCTCTGCATAAGCTAACCGAGGAGAAGCGACATTTCTGCTGGGATGAAAGTTGTAACATCGCATTCCAGGAGCTCAAGGACCGTCTGCGCAAAACACCTATTTTGGGATACCCTGATGCAAGCAAAGAATTTATAGTTGACACAGACGCAAGTGATATAGGACTTGGCGGTGTGTTGTCTCAACGTAATGGTGACCAAGAGGTCGTGATAGCGTACTTCAGCAAGTCGTTGTCAAAACCGGAAAGGAACTACTGTGTCACAAGACGCGAATTGCTAGCTGTGGTAAAGTCGTTGCAACATTTTAGCAAATATCTTCTGGGACGAAAATTTCACCTACGAACTGACCATGCTGCACTAAAATGGCTATTGCAATTTAAAAACCCAGAAGGACAAGTTGCGAGGTGGATTGAACTACTGCAGGAATACGACTTTGAGATCGAACATCGCAGCGGGAAATCTCATGGCAACGCAGATGCATTGTCAAGAAGACCTTGTCCTGAAGATTGCAAACATTGTACTAGGCAAGAGAGTAAGGAAGTGGTATCCGTGAGGATGCTCAGGGCAGACCACCTCAGCAACGAGTGGAAGGACAGCTTACTACATGCACAGCAGGAAGATCCGGACATCAAGCCGATTCTGGAATGGATAAAGGCCAGTGCTCCCAAGCCCAAGTGGAGTGACGTCTCAGCGATGAGTTCGACCACTAAAAGCTATTGGGCCCTGTGGGACAGCTTGCTGCTTCAGGATGGAGTTCTGTGTCGTAAATGGGAAAACGTTCGGGGAGACAGCTGTCATTTGCAAATGGTTGTCCCTAAAGTTAAAGTACCGGATGTTCTACAGCTGTACCATAATGATTGTTCAGGAGGCCATCTGGGAGTTAAACGAACTCTACTGAAGATCCGAAAACGGTTTTACTGGGTCCACTGTCGTAACGATGTCGAGGACTGGTGTCGCAAATGTACAAGTTGTGCGGCTGTAAAGGGACCTCAGACTCGTAGTAGAGGTGCATTGAAGTTGTACAATGTTGGTGCACCATGGGAGAGAATAGCCATTGACGTGGCGGGGCCGTTTCCGGAGAGTGAAAGCGGTAACAAGTATTTCATGGTTGTGATGGATTACTTCACTAAGTGGCCAGAAGTCTTCGCCATTCCAAATCAAGAAGCTTCAACAGTTGCAGATAAACTAGTTCATGAAGTCTTCTGTCGTTTTGGAGTACCTTTAGAGATTCACAGCGATCAAGGAAGGAATTTTGAGTCTCAAATATTCCAGGAAACTTGCCGAGTTATGGGTACTCATAAAACAAGAACGACTTCTTATCACCCGCAATCTGATGGAATGGTGGAACGATTTAATCAGACATTGGAGAGGTACCTAGCAAAAGTTGTAGACAATCGGCAACGAGATTGGGACAAGCACATACAACCGTTTTTGTTGTCATATCGAAGTTCTGTTCACGAAAGTACAGCAGTGACACCAGCTTTCGCAAACTTTGGAAGAGAATTACGGCTGCCTGCAGACCTGATCACCGGGATACCACCCGATGCTCCACGCAGTATAACCGATTATGCAAATGACTTGCGGAAAAAATGAATGACGTTTATGAGCACGTCAGACAATCGGGCCAGCAAATGTCTGAAAAAATGAAAACCCGGTATGACCGCAAAATGAACAACAAAGGTTTCGACGAAGGTTCACTTGTGTGGTTGCACAATCCAGTCCGCAGCAAAGGGAAATCTCCTAAGCTTCAAGCTAAATGGGACGGCCCGTACCGGATTGTAACCAGGATCAACGATGTGACCTACCGGATACAGAAAGGCGCAAGAGGGACTCCTAAGATCGTCCATGTGGATCGCTTGGCGCGTTATTATGGGACCGATAATGCTCGGGACGAGCATGTCTTAGGAGGGGCAGTGTTGCATGTATAAGTCAACTAGCGCCATCTAGTGTCAGGAACGAGAGCGAGGGGAGCATTGAGAAAATGACATCACAAATCGCTCAACTGACAGCGCCTAGTCGAAACTCGAACGCTCGATACCTTCCGCGTGTTTACTTGAACATTCTGGATATTTCTTTGCTAATTTAAATATATAGGCGCTGCAAGATGCGATGGAGGCAGTGTTGATTTGGGCGAAACAAGCGAAGTTTCGGGCGGAATTAAGTGAATTAGTGTGTTTAATTATTAGTGTTTTAACTTTAGAATTTCAACAGTGTTAACAGTAAATTAAAGTGTTAATTTACGGTAATTATAATTGTTATTAAACTCAAGTGTAAATAGTAAAGGTAAAATTAGTCGACTGATCTTAGGTTGAGTTTTGAACGTAGACTAAGTTATAATTTTAATGCTAAAAACAGAAGCAAGTGTAAATGAAAAAAAAAAGTTGCCAGAATTTAAAATTAAATTGTTTATTGTATTAAATTTAATAAACGATAACTAAAATTCCACACTAAATTGTTATTAAAGTGTTAATAGTAAAGGTAAAATTAGTCGACTGATCTTAGGTTGAGTTTTGAACGTAGACTAAGTTATAATTTTAATGCTAAAAACAGAAGCAAGTGTAAATGAAAAAAAAAGTTGCCAGAATTTAAAATTAAATTGTTTATTGTATTAAATTTAATAAAACGATAACTAAAATTCCACACTACTAAGTAAATGTAATTACATCGATCCCAGCTGACACTAATTAAATTGTTAATTGAAAGTTTAAGTGCTGGTTTACCACTGGCGGTGAAGGAAAACATCGTGAGGAAACCTATATGTCTAAGAAATAAGGAAAAGATAAGTAAATAGGACAAAGACACGAAATTCTTCAACACGCTTTAGGGCAGCGCGGTGGACATTTTCGTAGTCTAAAATCTTCTCAGAAATCAGAGGATGCGTATGCCCAGCAGGTGGACGTATATAGACTGTAACTTTATTTTTTTAACTAAGTATAAAAGGTCTGTTGTTATCAGTGTATGTATGTAATAAACAGTGAATGTGAAGGGAAATCGGTTTGTAGTTCTTCAAGAGAGCACTGTCGCCTTTCTTGAATAATAAGACCCACTTCTGCTCCACATCTCCGAAGTGTTTTCACCATGAAGGACGGAATTAAAAAGCTTTCAAAGGACTTTAAATACCAGTTTCCCACCCGCTTTCCGAAGCTCCGTTGTAATTACATCTTTGCCTGAAGCCTTGCCGTTGCTTCCCTATGTTGCTATTTACAACACCCACGGGAAGATATGTGGTAGTGGATATTTTTAACCGCCGCTACATGGCAACTAGATACATATTGGATTCCAAACCTCTCAGCTACCAAGCGTCCAAATCCGATCGCGGCGATATTTCGTCAAAATTTAAGAGGTCAAATATGACCGCACCCACCCACAGCACTTTAACGCATAAATACTTATGCTTAGAGACTACTTTTCTATGAAGAAGTTTGGCATTATAGAATCAATATGGAATTTTCTATCCTCTAGTGTGATAAAAATTAGTTAATCTATGGATATTTATTTATATTCTACGTTCATTACGTACGCCCTTTTCATTTGGATGTTGTTCTGTTGATTTTTGGATTTTTATAGTGTTTTACTATAGTGTTTTATTATAAAATTGTTATGAAACATTTTGTGTGAATATAATTTATCTTTTGAAGTAAATAATATCGAGTAATGTATAGAAATGTAATAGTTATTTTCACGCTGCCGACATCCTCTTGTTTTGTACCCGTTATTTGTTATCAAATACAATACAATCGGTTTTTGTAGTGAAGTAAAACCTGACTTTTTTAGACTACAGATTAGAAAATTTTGTATAGATTTTATAATGCCAAACTTCTTCTTGGAAAAGTAGTCTCTAAATATAAGTTTTAATATTTTAAAGTGCTGTGGGTGGGCGCGGTCGCATGCGACCGCTCGGGATTTGACGGACGCATGCGACTACTTGGAATTTTCATAGGAATTGAAGGTTTTTTTTATTATGAAAATTTTGTTTAAGTTCAAAATAATTATTAACTGCTATAGAATTGTATGCGCAAATTAACTAGTTGCCTAAATACCATCATGAAATTCCTAAAGAAAGTTTAGTAATACCTACACTAATAACTGTTAGTTTTGGCGGGGGTTAGTCTACTCCTAACATTTTGATTTTATAAATAGGACTAGATTAACACCTATTATGCTCTCCTGTCCGGCGAGCAGTTTGGCGTATGGCTCTGGGGGAGAGCGCAGGTCGTGGGCAAGGCAAGTCTGAGGAGTTCTCCTTCACGTGGTTGCCGCCTGTTATTTGGTCTGGTTCAATAGGAAACAGACAGAACAGAAACACTCGGACGATCCTCTTTTTCTTTTCTTTTATCCCTCCCCCTTTTCCCATCCCAACCCAATCCAAGGTGTCAAGCGTACCGTGCCGATGGATGCGTGGCTGGAGGGAGTCCAGTCGCAAACGGTGCCTACCCTACCAGGGCGATTCGGGTAGTATTTTAGCCCTTCCCTCGGCATGCGGGGCTCTGCCGGGGGTGACCAAGTATTTCCCTAGCTACTCGTGGGAACAAAATGGACGAAAACCGACATTTTGAAAAAGATATTAAATCTCCTTTAATGGAACTATCTGCAGGTTTGGAAGAGGCTCTTTTAGCCTCACCAACACCCTGCAACAGTGCGCCCCAACCTGGGACGAGCCGTGAAGTGGAGGGCACGTTTGCAGCCGAACCACAATCGGAAACGAACCAGGGAGGGGAAAAGAACTAACACTAGCGTAAAATTGCAGCTTCATGCTGCTGGGTTTCATATGGTGAGTGTAGAGAACCGGAGATCCGTTTTACTGGAATCGAGCCATTCCATCTTAGTCCACGCCCCTAAGTGATATTTGCAGACAACGCATTTGCATTTTTATTCTTCATTGAGGATAAATGTGAATATCTATGGGCCACAGACTGTGTGCTCGTTTGTCACCCAATGCTATAAAAAATCAAAGGTCTTAGATAAAGGTTTGTGTACTAACAATCTTATAGTCGGATAATCTGTATTTTTCATTTTATTTTCTGTTCCAGAACGGAATTAAAAGAGCAGGTATTTATTTGGTCTAGGGCCTACCCTGTAGGTAGCAATAATTGTTACAGGTCAGGGTATTTATTAACGACTCCTATTATTGAACGCCTACATTATACTAAATAAATAGTAGAGATGTAACTTTTTTAAAGCCGTAAAAATAATTATCATTGTTTTAAAGTTAAATGTTTGGTAGTTCCTATATGATTAAGATCAAGACAGTATATATAAGACGAGTTACTAATCATGTTAGTTGTCTAAATAAATAATGTGTAAAAGTAACGCCAGTTGTGTACAACTACTTTTTAATTAAAAATCTATACTGATTTTATGAACGTCCCTATTACTTAATTGCAACATTGTTTTAAGACTACATCACACAACGAAGAAAGATAGACGGGGCGCTGCAAACACTTCAAGAGCGAACCAAAAAGTCCCAAATCATAATCAACTTATTGTCATAACATGCACTTACGCAAACATATGCATCCAAAATCACTCGCAATCAACAACATGATTTAGGTCGAAAGAAAGAAATAAGAACGATATGTGCGTAAGTGCCTCTTAAGAAGTTAAGCATGGAAGCATGTGGAACATGTTTCTATGAAAAAATTACGTGAAAAAGCCATGCTGCAACTATTTTACGGTTGTAGCAAGAATGGGTTGGCTCAACCCGGGATGGACTACGCTCTTACAGAATATCAGCGTAAAATAACAACTCAATGCTGCTGTGTTTCGTATGGTTAGTGTAAAAAATCGGAGACCCTTTTAAATGGTTATGAAGCAATCCATCTTAGTGCACGAGGGTGACAACGCTTCTGCATTTTGATTCTTTATTAAAGATAAATGTAAATTTTTGGGGTTGGTGTCTATAGCGCACAACATCCACTTACTGGTATTACTTAGGTGGATTATATGCTCGTTTGGCACTTTTATTTTATAAAAAACTAAATATAGTGCATGGATATTTTTGTACAATTATAGTGGTGTCGGACGAAAAGAACAAAGACACAAAGAAAATACACTCTTGAGGCAATTTATGTTGCCCATATGATTTTATCCTTTATGTTTATGAAATTGAATTGTTTATTTTTTCTGTACTCCTTAAGTCATACTTGGGGTAAGAGACCGAGGAAAATTTTAAGGACATTTACTACAACAATGCTGGTGTTCTACATGGCTGCGTGCTATCGCCAACGCTGTTTCTTCTGCATATCAATGATATGGTGCAAGCCCGTAACATTCGTTGCTATGCAGATGACAGCACTAGTGATGCTCTGTACACCGGCCGTGCCAATATTTCTCGGGAAAACGTCTCCGAGTACCAAGACAAACTTGTGTCTGAAGTCCAGTCTTTGCTAAACAGAGTCTTGGATTGGGGGCGACTAAATCTAGTCCAGTTTAACCCTCAGAAGACACAAGTTTACACGTTAACTGCTAAAAAGAACCCCTTTGTCGTATCTCCTCAGTTTCAAGGCACTCCACTTGTTGCCTTAGCCAGTATCGGAATCCTCGGCGTCGATATATCGAGTGACGTTCAGTTTCATGGTCACTTGGAAGAGAAG